TGATCCCTGCGACCACACAGAGCTCAGAGACATGACTCTGATCCCTGCGACCACACAGACAGAGCTCAGAGACATGACTGATCCCTGCGACCACACAGACAGAGCTCAGAGACATAGGGCTGAGTGGGGAAAGTCGGAGGCAGAAGGGTCAAAGCTGGAAGACAGGGGAAACTGATCCACAGGAGGTCACAACAGTGGCTTTCTTCGGGAGGGAGGAGCTGGGTCGTTCTGCTGTTGGACCTGGGACGCGGCATGCAGCGGGGGACAGATGTGTGACGCTATGGCCTTTGTCACCATATTCAAGCTACAATGTAAAGAAGCTGGGAAAGACCATGTTTGGACATGTATTTTTTGGGAGGAAAATGGTCCACATAGTTGTCTGCAAACAACAGAATCAAGAAAAAAGAAAAGGCATCTTCTCCGCGAGGCATTGCCTGGTCTCCAGCCCCGACGCCAGCTCTCTGGTTTCCCCATGGCCAGCTGGTGGCCACACTTAACTCCCTGCCTCCCTCCCATGAGAGCCCAAGGAGGCAGAAGGGCAGACCCTGGCCCACTGACAGCCCCACACCCAGAACAGAACCCAACATCAAGCAGGTGCACAAGAAATGTCCACTGCTGGAATCCACCGCTCCATCTCATCCCAGCACCTCGGAATCAGACTGTTTCCTTTCCAGACTGAGGCTGCTTGAAATTCCACACCTATCCCCGGTGTGATACTTTGTGTGTTGACTCCACTCACCACCAGAGATAGAAGTATAATCATCCTGCAGACAATCTCGGCAGATAAGGCTGGCAGCTCATAAAACTCATGTGTCTTTGTGCTGTTGCAGACGGCTTCATGCAGTTTCAGACACACCGTCAGGTAGGATGGTGACAAGGCCTCCTCGGGAATCCTGCCCCGCAAAGAGTTAAGAGAAATCCCAGCCAGGATTTAGGAGAAGTCAGAAAATGGTAACCATTGATGACGAGCCCCTTCCTTTAAAATAACTAACAACAGGGCATTTGTTTGACCTTATCTAGGTTAACGTCTGGAAAATCACAATCAGTCCCGAACTTGTGACTAAGATAAAAAAAGGAGGAAAATCTTCTTGTTTTGTCTCTGTAGTCTCAACTGTTCTAACCAAAGCAAGTCCAAACACCCCTCAGTGTGTTCTGGGATGTGAAAAAAGCAAAGAGATGTGTATTACTAGACATTAAAATACGACATAAATTTGAAAAAATATTCAGAAAGAAACAGAAAGGAGGGAGGAAGAGAAAGAAATAGAAGAAGAGCGTGCAGCCTGTGTGAAATTGGCTCCAGCTCTGCCGGACCTGGGTTTTGTGTTTTCACATGGACAGAGCAGGGACAGAGCAGGGACTGAGGAGGAGCCTTAGGAGGGACTCAGGAGGGACTTGGGAGGAGCCTCAGGAGGGACTCGGGAGGGACTTGGGAGGAGCCTTAGGAGGGACTCAGGAGGGACTCAGGAGGGACTTAAGAGGACACTTAGGAGGAGCTTAAGAGGAGAGTTGATGGAGGGGCTGGACAGGCGGTGTAAGAAAGGACTCCCTGGGCGGAGGCTGTGACACACAGCGGTGGGGAGGTAGGGAGCTTGTGGGGGGGGATCCTGAAGTCACAGGTGCTGGATCAACATCAGCAGAGACGTGAACAAAGGAGGTGAACAGAGACTGGAAGTGCCCAAACCGCTCAGAGAACAGCTCAGACAACACGCATCCCATTGCTCGCTGGGACATTTCAGTGGCCCTGCATTCTGTCTGCTGACCCCTCACGGTATCAGAGGTCACAAATTTGCAGGAGCAAATGATTTTGGAAAATTATATAAAGCTACCTTTGATTTTTATCTTAAACTAAGTATTGAAAAAATGCAAAACACCCACCATGCATATGCAGTACCATGACCGTTTACAAGGAAGGAAAAATGTACAGGAAAAAAGACTGGAGGGAGATAAACCCAAATCTTAGCAGCTGATATCTGTTATTTCTCTTAAAAAAAAAAAAAAAAAAAAGAGGGCCGGGCATAAGCGCTCATACCTGTAATCTCAGCACTTTGGGAGGCCAAGATGATGGATCACATGAGGCCAGGAGTTCCAGACAAGACTGGCCAACATGGTGAAACACTGTCTCTACTAAAATTACAAAAATCAGCCAGGTGTGGTGGCAGGTAACCTGTAATCTCAGCTACTCAGGAGGCTGAGGCAGAAGAATTGTTTGAACCTGAGAGGCGGACGTTGCAGTGAGCCAAGATAGCACAACTGCACTCCAGCCTGGGCAACAAAGTGAGACTCTGTCTCAAAAAAAAAAAAGGCAGAAAAAAACCCCTGCAAATCTGTGTTTTTCTTCATCTAA